CTATCAGTGGTGAAGGACATGCAGCTCCTGCTCCCTGGGGTGGGCACACTCCTGTGGCTGCAGAGGAACAGGTGGAGCCCTGAACTCCCCACCAGAAAGGCGGCAGGCACTGCCCTGGCCAGTGCAGTGTTTATTATTCCAAGTCACTGGGAATTACGTCTAAATCCCCCCAACAGCCTGGATTGGTCTGACACCTTTGGTGTTATCTGAACGTTCCCTCCAAGGCTGTTAAGCAGTTCAGATGGGTGGTTTAGACAGAAACCATCTGGCTGCCGCACGTCAACACTGCTCCTCCTCCTCAGAGCCCCTCCCTGGCTTTGGAGGCGACAGAGCCAGTGCCACACACACCCCAAAGTGGACCTATTGTTTCATTTAAATCTCTGTACAAACCTATGGTCCATGTCACTTAATGTGATTTCTTCTACTGCTCTAAGCACGCGACACGACTAGGGAGTGGGGATGGGGGTTCAAATGAGTGTAGGGTCCGGTTAGATTACAGAGATACACTGTCTTTATTCTGGTTCTGTAATATGACCTCAGACCATAGGATTAATATTCACTTACATGGAATCAACATGCAATGACTGATCCCTCCCGCGGCGGGTGTGATGCTGCGCTGAGGCTGAAGGGCCCGTCTTGGCCTCTGTAGGTGTGGAGTTAGTTCACAATGAGAAGTGAGAAGTGGTGAGGAAGGAGTAAGGCGACAGCCATTGGCAGTGTTAGAATAGCCATCCCCAAAGCATTTAGGATTCAGGTGATATCTGTGTTACTGCAGGAATTCTAAAGAATTTGACATCTTGATAAAGAAGTCAGAGTTTGGGCCAGGCCCTGAAGGATCAGTGAGATTTAAGAGAGCACTGGGGATTGACTACCAGATTTAGCAAATAAAAATACATGACCTGGCCAGGCGCGGTGGCTCACACCTGTAATCCCAGCATCTTGGGAGCACGAGATGGGTGGATCAGTTGAGGTCAGGAGTTCGAGACCAGCCTGACCAACTTGATGAAACTCTGTCTCTACTGAAAATAAACAGATTAGTTGGGTGTGCCTGTAGTCCCAGCTACAGGGGAGGCTGAGGTAAGAGGATCAGCAGCTGGATGGTAGGCCAGATGGGTGGCGGAGGTTGTAGTAAGCCAAGATTGTGCCATTGCACTCCAGCCTGGGTGACAGAGCTAGACTCCATCTCAATTAAAAAAAAAAAATGTAACCTTTAAGAAGTATTCATACTAAAATATTATTTATTGTGTGTCTGAAATTCAGATTGAACCGGCCGTCCTCTATTTTCCTCAATAGGGAAGATGTTTAAGTGGAAGCATACTTGTGCAAGCTTGCATGTTCAGGGAGTGGTGAATTGGACCCTCTGGTTGGTAGAGGGTCGTTCAGGCAGAGGTAGAGGGACTGTGTGGGTATGAGATGGGATCAGTGGTGGTGCCAGGTCATGACTAATGTGCCTTTGGGTGGCTGCTGTGGTTCAAGTCTGTGGGCACACCATGTATTCCACACTTCTCGTCTCCATGGCAACGAAAATGTTATTATTCTAGAGCACATTATCTTTGATCTGAAGAAGCAGGGCTGATGTAAATGTGGCCAGAACTATGGCCCAACTTGCAAGTTTGTGCCTGCTTGGGTGGAGAGTCAGCTGGCCAAATCAAGTCCCAGAGGCTTTTCACTGGAGGACAGGCACTGCTAGTTTCTGAGTTCCAGTTTAAATGTATGTTTCTCTGGCGTTGGTTAGTACCTGGCATTCAGGCTGTCAGAAGTCCCGGCACAGAGCACAGATCTTCATGGGTGGTCTGTGTCCCTGCAACTCATCAACTATGTTTGACAAATGAACAGTCTTGGGCTTTGCCTAAGGTTCTGTGGCCAGCTCACAGCAGAGCCACTCTCAGGTCTCTTAGTTCTCGTTCCTTCCACCATTGCTGTGGCTCATTGAGGTCATATATTAATAAAAATGCCAGGGCTTTCACGACAGCCCCAGGTCTCTCTGTGTAGTGCTTTCTCACCATACCATGGTTCGTATCTGAGAGTGCCTGGTTGGAACCACACATGAAACTTGTCAGCATCCATTCAAATTGAGTTCTGGACAAGTGCTTTTGCTAAAGATTCCTACCTGTCAATTTATTAATTTGAAAATAAAGTTGATTGGAGTTTGGGAGGCTCCATGTTGTAAAACTCCTCCTTTCCTCCCTCCTTCCGTCCCTTCCTCCCAAATATATTAAGCATTTGCTGTATGTCAGGCACTGCCACAGGCACTGAGAATCCTGCGGTGAGTAAGATCGAAGTTTTTGCCCAAGTAAAACTTGCATTCTAGTGAGGGAGACAGACAACTGATCAATGAAAAATTACTCCACCTGGTGTTAAGTGCTAGGAAGAAATTAGCAGATGCTTTTGATTCATAGGTTAATCTCTTGGATAGGAGTAGAGTCAAGCCTCTTTTATGCCAACCCCCATTTTCTTGTGAGCTTTCCTACGTTGGGGGGACTCAGCTGCAAGCAGCATGCCTGGTGGGAGAAGGGAAGCAGCTGGCTCCAGGTGGGGTCGAGGCACTGGATCCTCACAGGTACATTTGTACCCCATGTCTGAAGCAGCACAGTGAACTGAGGTACGATCGAGGCTGCTGTTGACATCTGAGAGTAACAGGTGACAGATGATCTTGTCTAAAGGAAGAGAGAGGAACCTGAATATGTCAGGCAATAACATGCGACCGTTTCCCTGTGTCGGACTCTGCCCTGAACACTGAATTCATTACCTCATGTGGGTCCTTAAAATCACATGGGATATCCAGACGGGTTGGTTTTATTATCCCCACCTTACAGGTACAGAAACAAAGTCTCAGTAGGGAAGTAAAATGACTTCCCTACTGAGGTTCCTTATGACCCAAGGCCATAAGGCTGCTTGTACGCAGTGGAGTCAGTAAGTCCAACTTCAGACCCTATTTGCTCAGTCTCTGCTATAATTCAGGATAAACTGGGCTGATTGTGTCAGGACTCCAGCCAGAGAGAATGGGTTCCAGGCAAAAGTTGAGGCCCAACAGACAAGCCAAGGCAACAGCCCAGCATTATAAATGGAGATGCTTAGGGACAGGTATGATGTGTTAGGCGAGGCAGCAGGCACATAGGTGCCCAGGGGTGCTTCACTGGCAGTGGCAGCACGGCATGGCCTCTTCCAGGTCCCAGTTGCCTTGGGTGGAAGCTGTTAGACCTTCCTTTTCTCAGCCAGGACTTCCTTCCAGGTGAAGGGCTCTGTGGCCACCCCTGAGCAGGGGTGGGGCTAGGAGGGGGCTGTTTGCCACCAGAGTGTGCCTTTGGCATACACTGTCCTTCCCCTTTGCTGGACATTAAACCAAAGTTAGAGTGGGAGGAGTAGGGCCTTTGGACTCATATGGCCCTGGTTTTGTTTTCTGTCTCCACTGCTTGCTTCTTGTGTGGCCCTTGGGTAACTCAGTGACTCCGGGCCTCAACTCTAATCTGTAAAATGGGGCTTTACATACCCACTTTGCTGAATGTGTGTGAGCTTTCAAGTCAATGACATGCTCTATGTAAAGGGCCTAACGTAGTTCGTGGTGCATGGCACGCACATGGAAATGGTAAGGGGCATGATATATCACCAAAACCAACTTGGAAAATAGCCCCCATTTTGTTACGTTTGTTTAGAAAGGGCAGATACACCTGGAAAAAGAATTCTGAAAACAAGCACAGGTACAGGCCAGCCCTAGGCCTCACACCTATAAGCCCAGCACATTGTACACAGAGCTTGGTGGTGTATGTCTCTCTCTTTGAGTGCTGTACCCTGTGCAAGAAACAGATCGTCTCACCACGGCCAGAAATTCTATGGGTTACGAGGCAGGGTTACAGTCCTTTCTTCAGTTGTGCTGGATATTGCTTTCCAAGCTGAGTTCTAAAGCACTCTGGAGGGGTAGCAGAGGAGCCCATGGAGGCTGGGTAGTCTCTGTGGTGGTGGGGCTCCCTGTCCCGGTGTCTTGGACGGTGGCAAGGGCCTTCTGGAAGAACACAGGAACCACCATGGCTGTCACCCTCTCTGCCGAGCCGCTCTGCTGGTGTCTTTGCCGTGCAATTTAACTTTTCCATTGGGAAGAGTTATTGGTGCAGTTGGCAGGCGCTTGCCTGGTAAACGATACAGTGGGGCCCCCATAAACCCAGGCCCATGAAACAAATAAGTCAGCACATTGAAAATATAGCATGGAAGTGACTCAAGCCTGAAGGAATCCATTTCTGAAAGTACTGCCATCCCTTTCTGGGACATTTTGGTGGAAATCGATGTTTGAGTTGGGAGGAGGAGGCCCGTGGCCTGGTTACTTGCAGAGCCTTGTGTCAGAGTCGCAGCACTGGCCCAGGGTGTAAGTCCTGGCAGCCCCCGACCACGGGGTCATCCTTCTCGGTGAGGCGGCCCCCTGGCAGGCCAGACAGGGGTGAGCCCAGTGGGGTTCTGTGCTGTGGGAGCCGGGGTGAAGCTCTCTTTGCAGTAGAGAGAGTTGACTCTACGAGCCAACTGGTAACACTTGGCTAGGGGCCTGGAAAGTACTGGAAACTCCGCCCAGCATGGGAGCCTGTGGGAGTTCTCCGGCACGGACGAGTTATTCTTCTCTGAGTTCTTTAGATTCCTGTGTATTTGAAATGCTTACCTTCTTCTCAGGACTTCGGCTTGTACTTTTCCCACCAGAGACCAATACTAAGCACATACACACTTAAATTTACTAGGCCACCCTGGTGACCAGGTAATTAAAGCTGCACACCCGTTTTTGGAAGGAAGACTGTATTAGAAATCACGCTCCACTGTAATTCAAGAATGGGCTTCTTTATAGAGGGACACAGTTGGTGTCAGACACACATGGAAAAGAAAAGAACAGGCCCGTGATCTTGGCTCAGAACCCAGGGCCAGATGTTAAAGGTTCTGACCGTAACACGGCTGCAGCATGTTACCACCTGAGTTTGGCATGCTGTTTTAACCTCTGTTTCGACCTTGTCCTTTCTCTCTGCCAGGTCCCCAGTCTATGTGAGGATCTCCTGTCTTCTGTTGACCAGCCACTGAAAATTGCCAGAGACAAGGTGGTGGGAAAGGATTACCTTTTGTGTGACTACAACAGAGATGGGGACTCCTATAGGTGAGCTCACGCCCCGGGGATACAGCAGGCGCAGCAGCCATTCGCGGGCTGCCGTGGGTGCTTGCTACAGAGCACGGGGACCTTGGACTCGAGCAGGCTGACAGCCCATCCAGCCTTCCGTCCTTTTGTCCCTTACCCGCCTCTCTTTTCTTCTCTTATCCTCCCCATTCTTCTCTTCCCTCCATCTGTTACTCCGATCATGCAGCACACATTTGAGGAGTGCCACCCACAAGCATGGGAAATAGATCAGTGAACAAAAGGCTCCCTGCCTTCATGGATCTTCCAGTCTAATAGAGCAGTGAACAAAAGGCTCCCTGCCTTCATGGATCTTCCAGTCTAATAGAGCAGTGAACAAAAGGCTCCCTGCCTTCATGGATCTTCCAGTCTAATAGAGCAGTGAACAAAAGGCTCCCTGCCTTCATGGGTCTTCCAGTCTAATAGAGCAGTGAACAAAAGGCTCCTTGCCTTCATGGATCTTCCAGTCTAATGGGAGATGGGTGTTGTTCCCGAAAACAACTGTTCTATTACAGTTGCATTCAGTCCTGCGAAGGGCAAGGTACAGGATATATGACGGGAGTCGTGATGGCAGAGAGGGTCTCTGTGGTTAACGGGTCTATGAACACAGCTCTGTCAGATACACAGCTGTCTTCTCTCTTTCCATCACCTCGCCCAAGACTGTAAATAACTAAGTTGATATTAGTCCCTGCCCTGGATGTCTGAACACCAGGTCTAGCATAGGAGACACATTGAGTAATGGATAACCGTGTGATGTGATTCATACAGCCAGTGCAAAGCCTGTTCAGGGTGGGAGGGTAGCATAGAAGAGGCCATGGTCAATTCCGGGAGGACTTCCTGAAGGAAGTAACATCTGAACTGGGTTTTAAGGGCATGTAAGAGTTATACCTCTATTTTTTAAAGAGTGGGAATTCCTAAACTAGTCAAGTGTTTCCTTGATGAATTGCAGTAGTTACTACCTTGGAGAACTGTAGAGGAACACAGCCTGCTTTAGGTTTATTTAGAGGCCACAGAACCACAGTTGTCTTGAAGCTTTACCCAAATGCTCTCTTTGGAGAGGGGGCAAGGCTTCTGGGAAGTTGAAGCAGGAAAAATTATCAGGAGTCAGCCAATGCGGGCTTTAAACAGCATAGCTCCCTATGTCAATGGGACTGTGCAAAACACGTATTGTTACTCGTCTTTTAGTTTTCTCATCTGTAAAATGGAAATATTTGTTTACTATACAGAATGCTTACTGAAGGAAATATAGAGGACTGCGGGAGGGAGGGCGAGGATGGGCAGGCAGGGAAGGCTCTCCCAGAAGTGGGAACTGGAGGATGGCTGGGCACAGTGGCTCACACCTATAATCCCATCACTTTGGGAGGCTGAGGCGGGCAGATCACCTGAGGTTGGGGGTTCGAGACCAGCCTGACCAACATGGAGAAACCCAGTCTCTACTAAAAATACAAAATTAGCTGGGCGTGGTGGTGGGCCCCTGTAATCTCAGCTACTCAGGAGACTGAGGCAGGAGAATCACTTGAACCTGGGAGGCAGAGATTGCGATGAGCCAAGATCATGCCATTGCACCCCAGCCTGGGCAACAAGAGTGAAACTCCATCTCAAAAAGATAAAGAAAGAAAGAAAAAAGAAAAGGTCCAGCCACGCATAAGTCAGGAAGAGCCTGCTGGGTGCTGAGGTCCTGCGTGATGAGCTCGCTAGGATGGAGCTGGCAGAAGGCCAGAGGTGGAGAAGGCAGTGACAGGCGGGTGGTGGGGACAGAGATGAGGGTGGAGGCATGGCCAGGGCAGGTCTGGCAGAGTCTTGAAGGCCAGGCTGAGGGTAATAAAAGTTAGCACAGGGTTATTGGGGGGTTAAAGAAAGTATCACATGTGAAATGTTGAATGGCACAGACTTTGTCATATATTGTAAAAGTTTAATTAATTAATACTGACTTTTAAGAGATTAGAAAATAGTTTTATAATCATGTCCCTTTCCTAGCTTCAAATGGAAATTAGGTAGAGAATATATTTTGGCCTCCTTAAGCCCAGAGACTAGATAGAGTTGAAGAGGTGATAAGTGGTCAGATTTGAGGTCAGTTCTAAAGGTAGAGCCAGTGGCCTCTGCAGGTGGGTAGGGATGGAAGAAGAGGAGGTGGGACGTGAAGGGGTATCAGAGAGCTTCTGGCCTGAGCCACTATTAATTACGGTGAGGAGGACTCGGGGAGGGGCTGGCAAAGGAACAATTTAAGCTTGAGAGGCCCATTAGCTCAAAGTGGAAATAGCAGGTAGGCTGTGGATGTACAATGTGGAATTACAGGAGACAGGTCTAGGATGGGGATATGACTGCAGATGTCCCAGCATACAGATGGGAGACAGCCCTGAGGCTGATCAAGTTCATCCTTGAAGGGCTCATTCTGTACCTAGAATTGCTGGTCATGGGCATGGCATCCAGGTGCTGTCCTCCCTGGGGGCATCTTGCTCTGTTGCCCAGGCTGGAGGACAGTGGTGCAAACATGGCCCACTGCAAACCATAGGTACACACCACCATGCCCTGCTAATTATTATTATAATTTTTTTTTTTTTTGAGATAGAGTCTTTTTCTGTCACCCAGGCTGGAGTGCATTAGCCTCAGCTCACTGCAACCTTTGCCTCCTGGGTTCAAGTGATTCTCCTGCCTCAGCCTCCTAAGTAGCTTGGATTACAGGCATGTACTACCATGCCAAGCTAATTTTTGTATTTTTAGTAGAAACTGGGTGTCACCAAGTGGTCAGGCTGGTCCTGAACTCCTGACTTTGTGATCCACCCGCTTCAGCCTCCCAAAGTGCTGGGATTACAGGCATGAGCCACTGTACCTGGCCTATTTTTTTTTTTTTTGAGACAGAGTCTTACATTATGTTGCCCAGGTTGGAGTGCAGTGGCACAATCTTAGCTCACTGCAGCCTCTGTCTCCTGGGTTCAAGCAGATTCTCCTGCCTCAGCCTCCCAAGTAGCTGGGATTGCAGGTGTGTGCCATCATGCCCAGCTAATTTTGGGGGTTTCACCATGTTGGCCAGGCTGGTCTTGAACTCCTGACTTCAAATGATCCTCCTGCCTTTGCTTCCCAAAGTGTTGGGATTATAGGCATGAACCATTGTGCCCAGCCCCAGCAAATTTTTTGACTTTTCTATTTTTTGTAGAGATGGGGCCTCACTTGTTGTCCAGGCTGGCCTTGAACTCCTAGATTCAAGCAGTCCTCCCACTTTGGCCTCCCAAATTGCTAGGATTACAGATGTGAGCCACAGTGCCCAGCCAGAGAGCCTCTTATGAAGTGGGGTGGACCAGCCCTTAGAGAGAGTCCAGTGAAGGTGGTGAGTGGTCTGGCAGGCCAGGACCACATCATCTCAGAGAAGTACTCTCGCCTGTATGCAGTTCAGAGAACACTTCCTGGAGGAGGTGGTCCTTGAACTGGTCTTGCTTAATCAATATCATTACTATATTATTTTCACCTAAAAACTCCAGTTTGCTGTGTAAGACGACTGTTCTGCAGGAGCTGGTAGAAGGATGGGACCATGTCTAGGCCAGGCTCTGCGGGAGACCTGGTACCTGCAGCCCTTCCAGGTCACCCCTTTGTCCCCACCTGCATTCCTGAGGCCCCACCACTGGCTCTGGGGGAAATCTCAGGCCTTGAGAGAGGAGCCCAGGGTGCGGAGGCAGAAAGTATATCTTTCTTTTCTCTCCTTCTTGATATGAAACTTCAGGGTCTTCTGATTCTCTCCATAGATTTCCATCCTGACTGTGTTTGATGGTTTGCTTAAATAAGATCCTTATGGTGTGACCGCTGCCGGCAGCACCGTTTGAAACCTGTTAGCTGAAACAAAAAGCCTTCTCGGAGGGAAATGAAAGGGCTGACTTTTGAAATCTAAGCGTTCTTGTCCATCTGTCTTTTTTCACATGGCCTCCATTTAAGCTCTTAAATGTGTTCTGAGTACCCCCTCCACTAAGAATATTCTGGGTAATGTTATGGTATTTCCCTCAGCTACAATTACCCTGGCTTCAGGACTAACAGCTTGAAATGCTATCATCTGTGAGCCAGTAGAAATGTGAGTTACAGGCTTCTTGAAAATTGCAGGCCCCCAGTCTGCCCGAGAGATGGGCTCTTGTGCCTAATCAGGGTGCCTTGAAATGAACGCCAGTTGGGTCAGGTCTTCCTGGCCCACAGGAAGGTGGTGGCCATCATCTAACTGTGGGAATGGTCCTGGGCATGAGTGTGCTGCAGAGTCTCAAAGGGCCACGCAGGAGAAGGAGGGAATTCAGCTCCACACCCTCAGATTCTTATCCACTCCCCTGGCCAGCTGAACCACCAAGCCTTGTTTACAGAGAAATCATGGCGACAGCATCTTTCTCCTGGATCTTTGTCTCAGATCTGGTGAGAGGCCTTTGTTGATTTGGTGTTTTTGTTTTTTTAGCGCTTAGGTGTCCCCCAGCATACAGAAGCCAGAAAGCTGCTCCGTCTCTGAGTTTGGAGGAGCGGAACACCAGCAGAATTCCCGCAGGTCCTTTCTTCCCCTCCTGGGCTGTGAGGCTTCAGTCCACCAGCAGCATCCACTTGGCACTGACTCAGGGCTGGGTACTGGGGACAAGGGTAGGCAGCACAGGCTCTCTTCTCTCAAAGACCTCTTGCAGTCGAGGATGAGAAAAGAAGGGCATGAGGGTTAACGTGTATGCGAGAGAGATGGGCAGGAGGGAGGGAACGGCTGCTTCTGTTGTGGAGTGGGGTACAAGAATTCATTCTTTTTTCATTTTTTTACAACTGTGATTGGACAAGAATAAGTCATTCTCCCCGAACTTCCCCCCCCGCCCCACCCCCATTGCCAAGACAGAGTGTTGCTCTGTCACCCAGGCTGGAGTGCAATGGCCCAATCTTGGCTCACTGCAACCTCTGCCTTCTGGGTTCAAGTGATACTCCTACCTCAGCCTCCCAAGCATCTGGGATTATAGGCATACGCCACCACACCCGGCTACTTTTTTATATTTTTAGTAGAGATGGGGTTTCACCATGTTGGCCAGGCTGATCTCAAACTCCCGACCTTGTGATCTTGCCCGCCTCAGCCTCCCAAAGTGCTGGGATTACAGGTATGAGCCACCATGCCCAGCCACATTCATTCTTAAAAACATTTTTTTTTTTAAATGAGCATGTAGTTGAGTGCCAGGCACTGTTCTAGGTGCTGAGCAACCCATAGGGAAGGTGACAGAAAAGGCTCTTGCCGCTCAGAGCTGAGGTTCTAGAGTGAGCTATCTACTTTTAAATGATTCCAACTAAATAAAATTAAGAATTTAGTCTCTTGGTCGTACTAGTCCCATTGCAAGTATGCAAGCAGCCACACGTGGCTAGTGACTTGTTTAGGACAGCACAAATCTAGAACACCTCCATCGTCACGGGAAGTTCTGTTGGGCATCCCCGTTTCAGAGGGAGGAGGGACAGGCTACAAGAACTGGCACGTCAGCCTGTGCTTGGCCTCTCAGGAGAACTGAGGCACCCAGGTGGGCGGCACGCCTGTCTTCCTAGCTCCGGGGTCCCAGCTTGCTGACAGTGAATGGTGCAATGTGTACCATGAGAGCTGGCTGCTGGTCATGGGGCAGTAGGGAGTGTTTCACCCCATTCTTGCAAAGTCTCTACCAAAACTGCGGTGAGCAGCGGAAAGTGGTCACCTTGGAAAGAAGAGTTTCCAAAGGCTCCTTCTGCTTGGAGGTGATCAAGAGTGTAATGCTTGCCTGGAGACTCTTTGGGGACACCAGACACATCAGCTTGTGAAACAGCCTCTGAGAAAGCTGCCTGCAGGTGGCTGGTGGAAACGGGCGCCCAGCTTATTCTGGTTTCATACTCCATGATCTACTGATGTAGGTGCCTGGGAGAGCATCACTTACCAAGAAGAAAGATGTCTGTGCACAGAATTTGTTAAAACTGGGGTTTGGGGTATGATGAGCATACTTTTTTTTCCCTTGATATGAATGAACGTCTGTGGTCAGGAGTGAGTACAGGAAAGGCAGTGTAGATCTCTCTATGGAAACAGAGGTGTTTAGCCCAAGAGTGTAAAGGACTTTTTCTGAATTCCATGTCGTCGTCTCTGTCTTTTCATTCCTCTCTCACCTTTTTAATTCTGCTACTTTGTCTGAACGCTCAGTCCTCTGGACCCCACCTGCAGGAATTAATGAGTAGATCTTTCCCTTATAACCCCCTTTCCAGTTCTCTGTGTGATTAAATGCTTTCCTGATGTGGCAAAATACATTTCAAGAAATATAGCAAGTCTTTGGGGCTGCAAAAAGCCTGGTTCTCATTACTTAGCAGTCTTTATATGTGTGCATAGCCCTTGGATGTTGGAAAAGCTATCCTCTGTTCACGTGGAGAACCTGGTTGCTTAGGTTTTCTAATGTAATCAGCATTTCCCTGTGGAGCTGTGTTTCTTGCCTGCCTCTGTAACTGACAGCTCTCTTAATCCTTACTGTATAAGAAAGTCTTTGGAATTGAAGTTAGCGCCTCCAGCAAGTCAGAGAGGAGAGAGGAACATCTGTCGAACTATAAAATGGTCAACACATGGCCGGGTGCAGTGGCTCACGCCTATAATCCCAGCACTTTGGGATGCCAAGGTGGGTGGATTACCTGAGGTCAGGAGTTTGAGACCAGCCTGGCCAATATGACAAAACTCCATCTCTGCTAAAAATCCAAAATTAGCCGGGTGTGGTGGCTCATACCTGTAATTCCAGCTACTCTGGAGGCTAAGGCACGACAATCACTTGAACACAGGAGATGGAGGTTGTGGTGAGCCAAGATTGTGCCACTGCACTCCAGCCTGGGCAACAGAGTGAGACTTGGTCTCAAAAAAAAAAAAAAAAAAAAAAAAAAGGTAGTGAACACAAAGGAAACTGAGAAAGCGGGTGAGAAAGAACTGGCATTTGTTGAACACTGATAATCTGGCAAGCTCTGGTCTGGGCGCTTGATCTGCTTGTCTCCTCATGTCTCATGACAGCCCTGTGTGCAGAGCAAGTAGCAGCCATATTTTGCATAGGAAGAAAGTGAGGCTCAGAGAGTCAGGACACTTGCTGAACATCCACAGCCAGTGAGAGGTACAGCATGGGTGTCTGCTCAGTCTACCTGCATCTGAACCCTTTAAACCTCCAGAAAGCCCTGTTTGTTGCCAGGGCCCAGAAAAATCTTTGCTGGAGCTAGCAGCTTTGCCCCTGAGATTTCAGATAGCTGGGGCTCAGGCTCCCTGCTCACTGGCCAGGTCTTCATGGAACGATTCATGGTGTGTCCTTTTCCTTCCTTCCCTCCAGGTCACCATGGAGTAACAAGTATGACCCTCCCTTGGAAGATGGGGCCATGCCGTCAGCTCGGCTGCGGAAGCTGGAGGTGGAAGCCAACAATGCCTTTGACCAGTACCGAGACCTGTGAGTCACTTTCTCCTCTTGCACTTTAGCTCTTGTCATTTTTGAGAGGTAAATCCTAAGTGGCAGTGTTCTCTCTTGAATCTGTTACCTGGCCAGGCATTCTCCCTGGAATCTGTTACCTGGCTGACCTAACTAAATTCTGAGCCGTCCACAGCAGGATGCAGGGCACTCATTTGGTAACTGTCGGTGATGAAATGACTCAGTCATAGAATCCTACCGTACTCCACTGTGTGTTGTTGACCTGCGTCATAATTCACAATAACAGCAGGTACCACTGGTACAGCACCTACTGTGTGTAGGAAACAGTTCTTGGTATTCTACATAGCATCTCAAATCCTCACAAACATAGCTAGTTTAGTCCTCGTTTCTCAGATGAAGAAATTAAGACACAGAAAGATTTAAGAGTTTGTCCACGGCAAGAGGTAGAACCAGGAATTAAAATCAGACCTGTCTGTCTCCAAAGGCCCCTATGGATTTTTTACCATGCTCAGTTCTGACCTGGAGCTCAGGGGTCCCTGCCTCTAGCTGCTGCCAGACCAGGACCAGCGCAGTCCTTACACCGTGGGAGCAGAGCAGCAGACATCTTCCTGAATCCTGAGTTGTTCGTGGCCTCGGCACCTACCTTAAAAAGCATTTTGCTACATCTGTTGAGATTTGTTCCTGCCCCATCTAATCCTGCCTCCCAGCACTGCAGTACCAACATGTCACTTAATTGTTCGGTCTTACAAGGAAGGGCTCCAGAGAAAGGTAGCCATAATCAACAGAATCTCATTTATAATTAAGTTCTATACTGAAAATACAGCAAAACTGTAAAACAGGCAATACTAAATCAAGGCGGCAGACTTTTTTTCTGTAAAGAACCAGTTACTAAACATTCTAGCCGTTGTAGCCCACATAAGGTCTCTGTGGCTGCTGCTTGGTTTGTTTTCTGTTTCACCTTTAAAATGTAAAATTCACCTCTTGAGCTTTGAGGTGGGTAGAGCTTGGCCCTCGGTCTGTAGTTCACCCACCCCTGGCCTATAGGATCTAGGCAAGAAAATGGACATAAGAAAAGGAAGCATCCAAACAGTGTCAAAACGCTGGTGCTGCTCTACTTAGCATGAGGGGTTCACCTCTTCACTCTGCAAGTATTTGGAGTGGCTGTGTAGTTCATAGCAGCTTGCTGTAACATATAAAGAATTTCTGGCAGTCACAGTGGCTCACACCTATAATCCCAGCACTTCAGGAGGCCAAGGCAGGCAGATGGCTTGACCCCAGGAGTTTGAGACTAGCCTGGGCCATGTGGTGAAATCCCATCTCTACGGAAAAGAAAAATTAGCTGGGTGTGGTGGCCTACAGCTGTAGTCCCAGCTACTTGGGAGACTGAACTGGGAGGACCACATGAGCCCAGGAGTTTGAGGCTGTAGCAATAGTTGTAATGGCACCACTGCAGTTCAGCCTGGGTGGCAGAGTGAGATCCTCCCTCAAGCAAAATTTTTAAAATTTCTTTTAGAAGCTGGTTTCTACAAACAGAAAACCCATCACGCTTAGTAGAATGAAATACACAAGCATAGATCTATAGAAGACAGGAATAAATGGCCTTAAACATTTCAGCTTCCTCAAAATGCATCAATGTGTAATACAACCTTATCTTCAGTATCTATTATGTACAAATATTTTATATACATTATCCTTACTCCTTAACAAGAACCTCTGGGGAAGATGGTTTTGTTCCTCCTTTTACAAATGAGACCAAGCTTCCAAGAGGTGAAATGACTCACACAAGACCACAGGACATGGAGATGAAAAGCTAGGATTTGAGTCTGTATTTGTTTAAAATTCCCACAAATTATTGATTTTCACAGTTAAAATAGGCTTCAGCCTTTAAAGGTTCTTAAATCTAGAACTTTGTCCTATTGTAGAATAGCTCCTTCCCCAGTGATCCTGAAAAGCTGAATCTGTGCTCTATGATAGTTTACCTGTAATTGTCTTTTACTGTCTTCCTTTACCTGCCCATTTGGTAAGAAGTCAATCCAGCTATCAAACAAGAATGCCCAAGTAGAATCATTTTGATATTAAAGTGATAAATACTGATAATAAAATAGCGATGGTGATGATAACAGTTACCAGTGGCCATGCAAGTGGGTGTCCAGGTGTTCTCTGCTTCATTCGGTCTTCACAAGAACCCATGGGAGAAGGGTATCCCTCTCTTACAAACGAGTTGACAGATCAGAACGGTGATGTAACTTACCCAGGTTCACAGAGCCAGTAAGTGGTGGAACTGGGATGTCAAACCATCCTTATCCAGCTCCAGAATCCAACATCAACTTACTCACTCAGCAGGCGTTTGAGTGCCTCCCATGAGCCAGGTGCTCACTGAGTACCAGGAATGCACCTCATAGGTGATAGCTGAGGCCCCCACCCTCACCATGCTCCATTGAGGAAAAACAAACAGTAGTCAAGTGAACAAGTCAGTGGTGCTGGTGATATTAGGGAGCAGTGCCCCATGAGGCCTCTTGAGGAGACACTTGACTGAGGTCTGACATCGAGGAAGCCAGCCAAGCGTGAGGCTGTTTGTGCCAGGGTCTCTGAGGCAAGGGCAAACTCACCTAAGACCCTGAGACTGGTGCCCCTTAATGTGCACACAGATCTGTCAACCAGCAGTTACATGCCTTCAGCCTCTTTTAATTAGGCAAAATTGGCGCCTTTTATATCTTTGTAAGTTTCCTGGGAGCCAGCTCAGGATACTCCAGGAATATAGCCTGGCCTTTCAGCTAAGTGTGAAGGTGGACGTGGAAAGTTCCCCCCTTGAAAGTGCTGGATTTTCCCCCAACTTGGGGAGCTAACCTGCCATGCATGCCACCCCTAGCCTGAAGAAGTTGCCGGGCCTCACCCCTTCTGTTCTCTGAGGAGGCTGCACTCTGGCTTATTACTGGGCTACATGTTGAGATATGGACGGGGGGAGGTTCTGACTTTTTGTGACACTTAAGTATTCAGATTGTTACTGCCTTAATAAAGTGATTGAGATGTGTTGCCTTACTCCACCATTAGGGCCAGCCTTGGGGATGAGCCCAGTTTCATCTTGGACTTTTACTTTCCTTGTTCTCCATTCCCATCTCATCGTTCACATATGTAATGATACATGGTGTGCGCTTCTGCAGAGCTTGGTTAGCCTGTTATGAGAATTTCCCTATTATCACTGAAACTCTTCAAATAATCACTGAATCCTCACGGTGACTATAGGATAAGTGGGAGTTACTCTGTTTGGCAGCTGATGGAGCTGGGGCTCAGAGAAGTACTCAAGCTAGTTAACACAGCCAGAAAACCACAGGAGCCAGGAGCCATAGCCGAGGTCTCACTCAGGTCTCACTCTTCGCACTGACTCTAGCGAATTCTTTCCTTCCTTGGGAAATGTGTATTTGTAAGGTGGCTTTGTGTTTCTGTGTGCCTTTGACTTTGCCTGCACACTCCTCTCTGAAGGTAAACTGACTCTCGGGAGTTAAGAGGGGTGACAAGACAGGCTTCTACCCCCAGTTGGGGGTCTAACTGGATAACCCGGACCGTGAGGGTCTGTGACAGAGTGTAGTGGGATCCAGGCTGGTGCTCTCTGTCCCCAGCACCTCAGGAGGAAGGAGGAGAGGGGAGCATAAGGGCTCAGGGACCCCGCAGGAGAGGCAGGAGGCCCTTCCTCCCACTTCCATGTGCAGGGGCAGCGGGGCCAGGTTCCTCCTGGGTGACAGGGACCGCAGCCCACCAAAGGAACAGCAGTTGGAACTGTCATCCGGGACACCAGAGGCATTCATTTCAAGTCGCCCAGTACCATAGGAGTGTGCTGGGGAGCTCCCTCTCCCGGGACCACATATGAGGGACATTTTCCCAGCTGGACCACATGTGATGAACTAAGTGTGTGCTTCTGCATATATCATAATTCTAGAAATTATGAGAAGAAGTCTCTACTTTTTCCTTTTTTAAAAACGTCTTGGTACATTGCTCATCTGCTCAAGCTCCCATTCTCAGAGTGCCCTGCGAGGATGTTGGTGGCCACATCAGTGACCATAGCAGGCCCTGAAATGCCAGCTCTTTTCCCCGTGGCTTTGGAGCAGAGAGTCAGCTGGGTGGCCTTGTCTCCTAAGGGGCATTGGCCAAGGGCACAGAGGTAGTAGAACACCCCTTTCTTGTCAACTTTCGTCCAGCCCTTCCCAATATAAATGCTTTCTCACAGAAAATCTTATTTGTTATCCCCTAAGCGAAGCCACAGCTCTCCCACCTGTCTTCTGTTCAGGTTGGCAGAGGGGTTCAGGCAAGTGTCACTCTGAAAGGGGGCATCTACCCAATGCTCCCTTCTGCTGGCTTGGTCACCCTGAGCCTGAGGGGCCTGGAAGGTGGTGGCCACTGTCCCCGGCCTGGTGAGAGATGCCTGGAGCCTCAGCCAGATCCATCCTGCCAGGAGAAAAGGGGAGTGGCTGGAGAAGCCATCCTGTAAGAGCGGGCTGGGCTCGCCCTCGTGCCCAGGAGGGCTGCACAGGTGCAGCTGCCACTCTCAGGGAACACACTTCAAGCTAGAGCTTCCAACCCCCCTGGCATTTGGGGGTTGGAAGAACAGACTGTGTTGACAGGGTCTAATTCCTGACAATTCCATTGCTTCTGATTTCTTGGATCCTGATGAATCACAGTTAGGACCACGCTTGGCTTGAGCTCCAGCCTCATGACCACCAACCCCATCGAATGACTGAGAACTGCCAGGCTCCTGCCATGTTGGAGCAAGAATCCTCCCGTGAGGACAGTGCTGCAGCCAGCCTCCAGGGAGTCGCTTGTTTTATGGCCTAAAAAGTCTCTTTATGCTGGGAAGATTACACTGGACTTTGCTCACACAGAGATTTTACCATTAAAAAAAGTGGTGGCAGGGGTGGGGTGGACGCGGTGGCTTAGGCCTGTAATCCCAGCACTTTGGGAGGATGAGGCAGGTGGATCATGAGGTCAGGAGTTCAAGACCAGCCTGGTCAAGATGGTGAAACCTCGTC